CAGCTACTCCGCGTACTAAAGTTGTACTACAAAGTCGCCAGTTCTCATCTTGCAGCTCGCCAGCTACTCCGCGCACTAAAGTTGTACTACAAAGTCGCCAGTTCTCAGCTTCCAGCTCCACAGATTGATCCGCGCACTAAAGTTGTACTACAAAGTCGCCAGTTCCCATCTTCCACAGATTGCTCCGCGTACTAAAGTTGCACTACGAAGTCGCCAGTTCTTATTTTCCAGCTCCCCAGATGCTGTGCCTGCCACGAAATCTGCACCTCGAGGTTCACAAAGTGCTGCGCCTGCCACAAAATCTGCACATGGAGGTTCACAAAGTGCTGTGCCTGCCACGAAATCTGCAGATGGAGGTTCACAAACTGCTGCGCCTGCCACAAAATCTGCACATGGAGATTCACAAAGCGCTGTGCCTGCCACGAAATCTGCACATGGAGGTTCACAAAGTGCTCTGCCTGCCACGAACTCTGCGCATGGAGGTTCACAAGTGCTGTGCCTGCCACGAAATCAGCAAATGGAGGTTCACAAATGCTGCGACTGCCACGAAATCTGCACATGGAGGTTCACAAAGTGCTGTGTCTGCCACGAAATCTGCACATGGAGGTTGACAAAGTGCTGCACCTGCCAAGGAATCTGCACATGGAGGTTCACAAAGTGATGTGCCTGCCACGAAATCTGCACAGGGAGGTTCACAAACTGCTGCGCCTGCCACGAACTCTGCGCGTAGTTCTGCGCTTGCCACGAAATGTGCACATGGAGGTTCACACGCGCTGCGCCTGCCACGAAATCTGCACATGGAGGTTCACAAAGTGCTGCGCCTGCCACGAAATCTGCACATGGAGGTTCACAAAGTGCTGCGCCTGCCACGCAATCTGCACATGGAGGTTCACAAAGTGCTGTGTCTGCCACGAAATCTTTACTTCCAGAAACAAGTGAAAACTCTAATCGCAATGGAGGGACGATTCCGACCATGGCACGAGACCGTCTCGCAACCGTCATTCCGCGGAGCTTCCCCGTCGAGGTTCGGAGAAGCACAAAGTGCTGTGCCTGCCACAACATCTGCCCATGGAGGTTCACAAAGTACTGCGCCTGCCACGCAATCTGCACATCGAGGATCACAAAGTGCTGTGCCTGCCACAACATCTGCAGATGGAGGTTCACAAAGTGCTGCGCCTGCCACGAAATCTGCACATGGGGGTTCACAAAGTGCTGTGCCTGCCACGAAATCTGCACATGGAGGTTCACAAAGTGCTGCGCCACGAAATCTGCACATGGAGGTTCACAAAGCGCTGTGCCTGCCACGAAATCTGCACTTCAAGAAACAAGTGAAAACTCTAATCACAATGGAGGGACGATTCCGACCATGACGCGAGACCGCCTCGCAACCGTCGTTCCGCGGAGCTTCCCCGTCGAGGTTCGGAGAAGCATGGAGGTTCACAAAGTGCTGTGCCTGCCACGACATCTGCACATGGAGGTTCACAACGTACTGCGCCTGCTGCGCAATCTGCACATCGAGGTTCACAAAGTGCTGTGCCTGCCACGAAATCTGCGCATGGAGATTCACAAAGTACTGCGCCTGCCACGCAATCTGCGCATGGAGGTTCACAAAGTGCTGCACCTGCCACGAAATCTGCACATGGGGGTTCACAATTTGCTGTGCCTGCCACGAAATCTGCATGGAGGTTCACAAAGTGCTGCACTTTCCGCGAAATCTGCACATGGAGGTTCACAAAGTGCTGTGCCTGCCACGAAATCTGCACATGGAGGTTCACAAACTGCTGCGCCTGCCACGAAATCTGCACATGGAGGTTCACAAAGTGCTGTGCCTGCCACGTAAACTGGAGCTAGAGCTGTTGAAACTGGAGCTGACTGGAGCTGGAGCTATTGAAACTAGAGCTAACTGGAGCTAGAGCCATTGAAATTAGAGCTAACTGGAGCTAGAGCTATTGAAACTAGAGCTAACTGGAGCTAGAGCTATTGAAACTAGAGCTACCTGGAACTAGAGCTCTGGAAACTAGAGCTAACTGGAGCTGGAGCTTTTGAAACTAGAGCTAACTGGAGCTAGGGTTCTTGAAATTAGAGTTAACTGGATGATGAGTGGTGTATGATGAGTGGTGTCTGATGAGTGGTGTATGATGAGTGGTGTCTGATGAGTGGTGTATGATG